GGGAAAGAAAAGTGTGAGTGATAATGATGTCACCTACATCTGAAAAAGTGGTTTGTGTGTACAAGTTGCTCTGAAATGGCCAGCTGAAAGCAATTCTTGTCCTGAAAGTAATGTGGCAATGTTACAGTACAGAATTTTCTTTTCAGCTCGTATCATTCAGTCAAGTTCTGTCATCATGTGAAATACAACTCTAGAAAGTACGAATGGCTCGGGATAAGCTATTTCAAAGGTCTCTAATACTGACCAGTTTGCCCAGAGACTTTTGTGTGTACTCCTACACAATAAATGTAGCCCAGGAGATAGTTAGTATGTGGTCAGTCTGACAGTTCTAATTTTCTGGAGTTGAGGTATGACTGTACCAAAGCCATGCTAAAACAATTCAACAAAAAATCTGTCTCTTTGAAGGCAGCCATCTGATATTATACCAAGATATCTGATGGGCTAAGTTGAGAGAAGATGCTTCATGTTCTTAAGTGGAAAAGGAAGAGGAGTCTAAGTCAGAAGCTTTGTTCTGAGGCAGTTTTCAAAAATGTTTTGCTTCCCTTTCTCTGTTTATATTACAATCACTTGTTCGTACTCAATTTGCCTTTGGGATCTAGATAAGCTGTTGACTTAGCACTTCCATTACAATGTTGTCTAAACATGGTATTGAGTTGATTATTTCTTTTTCCTGACTTTAATTTCTGTTGGGTTATACTGCAAGCCTGAGCATCCTCAGATATTAATACAGGAACAGGATGGGCAGATGTCAGAGTTATCAGCTTGTGTCTCCAGGCTGAAACTGCTAAGGTATGCTGCTGTGAAGGTCAAAGTATGAGATCCCTTTCTCCTTGTCTTCATCTCTTGTCTGTGGGCCCTTCAACCCTGGGGTTCTGAAAGTTCAGAGGATTTTAATGGTAAGATTTGGGATTTAATTCCCAGTGTTTCCTAGGGTCCAATAATATGAAAAAAACCTCTGGCACCTGGAGTTCTTGCAGGAACTAGGTATACAAGAAAATCGGTCTAGCTACCTGGCAGCAGGAGATGTGTTTTGCTGAAGTACATTCATAAAGTTAATGACAAAATTCGGGAGTGAACCTGGCAAGCCAGCTCCCAGATCCCTCATTATAAATTAACTTCTGCAAAGAGAAGCAATTCTCTGTTCTGGTACTGTGCCCTGATCTGCAAGTGAGTTGAAGGGGGTGTTAAGTACACACTTCTGTCTTTCTGAGAAACTTCAGTTGCTAAGTGTGCCCTATTATATAGAGGGAGGGAATGCTGTTTTGTGCATTTTAGCCAGCTGTTGATTTGTCCCTCACCCGTTTCTCCAAGGCATCCCTGTGGCCCAACGTCATGCATGAACTGCAGAATGGTGTAAAGCTGCGCAAGGTCACTGAGCAACCACAGCGTAGCGTGCCTCCAAAAAAAAGTATCCGCTCTCCCTATGATTTACTTTTGGATGATATTCAGCACAAGAGGTACACCCTTCGGAAGGTGAGTGACTAGAGTCAATGGACAACTCTGAAACCACCTGTTCCACCTCATTTCTAAGCAATTATTTCTTGAGACATCTTATCCAAAAGCTTGTCTTTTTCAAAGGTACTTCCAAGTTCAGAAGTGTCTGGGTTTCCCTCTCAGCTGCAGCTCAACATTAGATCACCCTGTTTGTCTACCCAAGCGCTTCATTGCCAGTAACCTTTTAATTCAGGGATAGCAACACTTTATGAAGCTAGATGGTAAACTTTTTCCCCCTCCAGGGGTCAGCCACTCCCTTCCCTGGAACAATTACGCTGTCTGGCACACAACAGTTTAATGAAACAGTCCCTTGCCTGCTTATGCTTTTGACCTTGCACACTTGTGTCTTCTCAGGCTCCTTGGGCTGAGCTGTGCCTGGCATCTCTTACCAGTTTCCTTGCTTTCCTGGATGTTGTGGGATGTGTGCAAGTGCAAAAGCACTTTTGAGCAAGTCCTTTGCTCAGCCTCAGGCAGAGGCCTCTAGGCAGCGTACGTGAGCTATTGCAGGAGTTTAGTCAGGGTAAAAAAAGCTGAGCCCTTTCCAGGGGCAGCTGCTGTGCTGACTGAGGTGGAAGGGACTTCCAGCAATACAGACGGTTGGTGAAAATGACCAGATACAAAAATGTCTGGGGTGCATCTAAAGGCTTGTGATGTTGTTAGCTTGCTGCAGCTTGAGCTGGGAATGATGAGCAGATCTAAAACATTGGCATCAGGCTTTGTGGCACTGGCGTGCTTTGCAAACAGACGTCTTGGCAGAAGATGAGACACAACTCTACTTGTAATAAAGAGCAGTATTTTAAAAAGTGAAAACTTTGCATACCACACCAGACATCAGCCTTTCTTCTCCTTGTTGGTGCTGCTAGAGTGCAGGGAGTTTTAAAGCCTCAGCTATACCATGCACCCCTATGAAACCCCAGCTCTTGCTTTTCTTGACTGTAGCTCCAGCCTTCAGATAAGGCTGTGACATTTCTCTGGAGATGATATCTTGACTGATATATAAATGAACAGTAGTGGAACATCATAACTACTTGTGTTCCTGGCAACGTATTGTGTATCAACACACTGCAGTACAGAACCGTAACTCAAGGTGGCAGGATGAACTGGGTCTTGATTTTTTTTTCTTTTTTTTTTTTTTAAAAAAATTTCCTGTGGTCAACAAGAAGCACAAACATGTTTGAAGAGTGTTAGTCAGAAATACTAGAAGAAAGCATAGAGTGCTACTGCTCAGGTCTTTGTGAAGGCTCTTAAAGGAGGATTTCCCCATTTGCAAAGCTATTTTAAAGCTTCTTTAGCAAACAGTGATCTAATTTGCAAATGAATGAAAGCACAGCTAGTGTGGGAAGCTGTAGTGTTGTTCTACCTGCACTCCCACCTGTTCTGAAGTTGTACACACAGAGAAAGTAAATGGCATAGCCTCAAAGTAAGAAAAAGTGAACAAGGCAGCTAAAGACATGCATGTGCAACTTGACTTTTTGTCAGTTCTCCCCTATGAGAAGCCTATGCAGCAAGAACAGGACTTGATGAGGGACACAGCCTACCTCACAAGAGTACCTGCCTTGCAATTCCATCTTGCTGTTGTTCCTAGTTTACATCGGGCTGTAAGCCAGTCTCTGGGACTCTAGCTTATGCATACAGCTGCCTGCTGCTACAGTTTTTGTTACAGTCATTAATCCATTCAATTACTCTCTTTGCTGGAGCTGAGTTTGCACTGATGAATGTGATGTGACCAGGGTACTTGTCAGGATCACTCCTGACATTAAAATCTGAGTACAATGTTTTCCAGTGGCTCCTCAGAGCAGTTCATGAGCTGCTGGGGCTAGAAGGCTGTATGCCTCTTGTGCAGGCCCCAAAGGGCTGTGCAGTGCTTCTGATTGCCTCTATCAAAACCCCACAAAAGTAAACCTCATTATTCTACACTTCCCAACTCAGGTTTGTTATTCTTTCCCTGTCTTCCCAATTCTCAAATCCTGACTTAAGTCATTCACTGGGCTGCTGAATGGGAGGGTGTACCAGGAGTAGAGAAAGAACTATTGCTTAAGCATCATTTCTGCTCTTTCAGGTGATCATCGAGCGAAAACATAGGACGCCTAAAATTGATGTAGCTGCTCCTAAGCCTCATCTAAAACCTGTAGGTGACCTGGTGATGCATTTAATGATAGCAAAACAAGATGATTCTGGAGTTGGCAAGACAGTTTCTAGGAATATAGAGCTAATGACTTAGCTACTGGTTTGGATTTGGGAGGGGGATATATTAACCATACAGACCCTCCTGCCAAAACATGGTGTTAGGAAAATGGGAGGTGACATGTTCATAGGATAAAGATGATCAGTCTCCCTACTTCTTCTGCTACTTCTTCCATTTGGAACATTTTGTGGTCCTGAAAGTAGTCTTGAAGTTCTCGGTTTCAAATTTGAGAGTTGCTGAAGTATTCTACTATGCACTGTCTAAAGGTTCTCTCATGTGTCTCTTGTGTGCAAGGCCCAGCACCCTCCTGAGTGAGAGGCACTTGTAAAACAGTGCCATTGCTAAAGGAGTAGTTCTGTCACCAGTGGTGTCCTCACTGGCTCTTTCTGGTGCTATGCTTTGCCTGCAGGTGCTGGAGAGGAAGCGCTATCTGGCACGAACAGCTCATGGCAGAAATAAAACAAACCCAGAAGCTTCGGTCATCAGCAGCAAGGGAAAATGGGAGCAGGCCCAAAGGTACCTGCTACAAAGTGACCTCTCAAGCATCCAAGTGAAGTCAGCATTGACTAAAAATAATGGGTGGCTTTTGAAATGAAAGCCCACTTTTCCATAGCATGTATAATGCAAGGGAGGTGGGAATGCAAATTCTGTATTGATAGAGGTGGTATGGCAGAATAGCTTTTTCTAGAAAATCTGTTTGTGGCTTATTAAGACTCAAGAGATGTTTCAACTTACTAATTTGTGAGGTTTTTTTAGGGGTGTTCAAATTTGTCAACTAAGTGAGAGAAAAGGATTTTGACCATCACCTAAAATTAAAAGATTATGTAACTACCAGGACAAAGTCTAGCCAAATCTCAAATTCTGATGTGTGGCTATCAAATTTGTCATTTTCTTGTCACAGCACAATATCTTATCTTGTCTGGTTTTTGTTCCCCCCTCTCCTCTGCAGAAATGCTTGTGACACCAAATAATGCCTTGAAATCTCCAAATGATAGTTTCTTAACTCTCCAAGATGCTAGTACTGAGTTTAAAATTGTCAACACTACAACACAGCAGCTGGGACCAGGCGTTCAGGTAAGGCTTTAAATGAAACAACTCTGGAGAGCCACAGGTACTTCAGACATTATTAGGTCTGCACACACGTGTAGCCTGGAACATCAGGTTCAAATCCTAATGTGGGCAATCTTGTCTCTCAAAAGTGAACGAATGTGGAACTATTAGGTTCACTGAAGTCCTTTCCTCTACAGAAGGTCATACCATATTTAGACACTTCTTTTTGTGACATGATTGCAGCCTATAGAATCAAGGTCTGCTCTGGTGTCTTAAAACTAGATCCTGCAGAATTTTTACTATGCATGGGAGTTTGGCCAATATGGGCCAGAACTATTCCCACTCTTACCTCACAATGAGGCCTTTGATGCTAGATGTATTGATGTATTTGCATTTCACATGGTATGTGAGCTTGTGGAAGGAAAACTTCATGATTTATTTTCAGGAAGCAACTTTACTGGTGAATTCCCACTCCTCTACCTGTGGAGCAATTTCAGAAACACCATTTTTCGATAAACCACAATACATAGTCTTTGGGCTCTTTAACTCCTGGCTTGATCATGAAAAGCTTGACTGCTTGGTTCTGGGATTCAGTCTGAGCATATTCAGAAATTCTGTGAAACAGAACTTAAGCCCTAACACATCATGTCTAGCACAGATGCGCTGGCATACAAACAGGAATCTGTTTTCTGTAAACATTTCTGTCTGAAATGCAGTTGCTTAACTGAGGAAAACGGATATGAATGAATAAAAGTAGAAAATCTTTGCTATATTTGCACAAGTCTGTTCTACTTGTAGGAACACTCAGCATTTGAGAACCCCATGGTTGATGTATTACTGCTAAACTAGAAGGACCTTCATATGGAGACTAGTACAATCAAATTTGTTTTCTACTTCTCTAGAGAAGCTAGAAACAATGCTGTTGAGATACAGCATTGGGTTTGAGTTGGGTTAGTGGGGCACAGTCTCTTGAACTGTTCTCCAGTGTTGCTACATGTGAGCTGGAGCCAAGCAAATGGTTCCAATGCACTCAAGAGTTGTATAGGGAGGATTTTGTGAAGTTGGTTCCTGAACAGATGAAACTTTGGGACTAGTATCTACATTGAACTTGAGCAAGAGAGAGAACAAATAAATTTGAAATTTCACTATCTTGGTTGGAGCTTCCTGGTTGCAGGGGGAATTAACTTGCTATTACCTCTTGGAAACTAGGGCATGTTGTGATAGGATGAGGAGGAATGGCTTTAAACTGGAAGAGGGCAGGTTTAGATTAAACATTAGGAAGAAATTTTTTACTTTGAGGGTTGTAAGGCACTGGAACAGGTTGCCCAGAGAAGTTGTTGAGGCCCCATCCCTGGAGGTGTTCAGTGCCGGGCTGGACGTGGCCTTGGGCAACCTGGTTTGGTGGGAGGTGTCCCTGTCTATGACAGGGGGGTTGGAACTCGATGATTTTCAAGGTCCTTTCCAACCTAAACCATTCTGTGATTCTATGAATATAAAGTTGCTAGATGTACCACATTGATTTTACTCTCTGCTCCACTTTTGGCTAAGCCTTGAACATTTCTGGTCAGTCCTGGGTATCATGGGTTTTTTTAGCAGCAGCACTTCTGAGGAAGTGGGCTTGGTGTCTCTTGTATGTAGCTTAAGAACATCCTGTCCTCTGGTCTACAGGAAACCACTGCAAAGCTGCCTTCTAGCACCTGGCTTGCCTCAACCAGGTCATCAGTAGTATCCTGCAACAGCACAGGTCAGTGTACTTATAGCTGCACACCTAAAACAGGTGACAAAGTACAATCAGTGGCCTGCTGGGTTCCCAGAGCCTTAGTTAGGGCTCACTGGCATACTTTCTCTCTGATCACCTGAAGACACTTTACAGGAGAAACTCCAACACTAAGCAATGAGTCTGGGGATGTGCCCTTAGAAAACCATTCTTCAGCAGCTGACTGAAGCTTGTATAGCTCCTGCAGCTTCAAAACAATGATAGCATGTCTCCAAAGGCCTAACTGGAATTCACAGTAAAAGCTAAATGAGTGTTTTGAGTGTTCAAATAGTAAGTGCACCACTTGATTTTATTAAACTGAATGGTGCTAATGAAGCCTCATCGCTGCCTACTGACAAGCATAATTACTGTAACCTCTGCTTTTTGTGATCTGAGCTGGTGGGGGTTGAGGGGGAGAGATGTAATCCTTGCTATCTTCAGAAGGTAGTGTAGAGCTCTTGAGCATTCAGCTTTTGTGGTGAATAGTTAAAAGCTGCTACCTGGATTTCTGCACCCTGAAACTCTCTCTTCCTATCCAGGTCTTGCTGCAAATTGCACATGTCTTCCCATGAGTACACCCACACTAGGAGAGAATAAACCTAGTGGTTTCCTGAATGCTGGCCAAGAGCAGCTACCTCCTTACAGAGGAAGGTCCAAATCTTTAGAGAGAGATCTTCAAAGCAAGGAATGTGTAAGTCCAGCATGTCAGCTAGCAAGCCTGGTCTGATATATCTGGTAACGATCAGAGCTTGCACCTTGATCCTCGTGCAAGCAGTAAGCATGTTCTGTGGTTTTTATCTTAGGTCATATTGTATACTGATCTTGAGTTGGGATATTATTGTCTCCTTGGAGACAGTTTAAAAGAAGATTGGATGCTGTAGTGTCCTTGTGGAGGCTTCCCAGTCTGATACGAAATAAAGTCGTTCTTCATGCAGGAAGAGAAAAATATCCCTGCATTACTTGAAAGTGTCTGTGGAGGCTTCCTCAAGCAGACTGTAGGTGGCAGTGGGGCTGTCCTGCTTTCTGCATCTCCCCTCATTCTTTCTAGATTCTGATATGTTCACAAATATCCTTTAAGCTGCAGTAAAGGAAACAAGTGGTTGACAAAATGTAGATAGCACAGCATCAATAACTTCTAAATGTATGCAGTACTGAAGTCATCAGGCTCTGAATGACTGTTGTGGGAACAATGCTGGGTTTTGTGTGCTTCTGTGCAAGCTTCTGAATCATGACCTTGCTCTTTTCTGCCCTGACAAGGTGTGCTGTGCCCTTGCCGCCTCCTTTCCTTCTGTATCCCTCCCTGCCCCACCCCCGGCAAGTCTCTAAACTAACCATAACTCTCTGTGACCTCTTTGTTCAACAGTGTGGTGGGGGATGCAGGTGGGTTGGGCTCCCCACCTGGGGATGAAAGTACTGTTGTCTCTCCTGGTCAACCACCAGACCATAGCTACCGTTTGTGTGGGGCCACTGGGTCTTGGGAAAGAGAAGGCAAGAGAGTCTTGTGCAGTGGAAAGGGATCCTGAACCTAGGAGGGGCCAGGGTGCCATATGTGCTGTGGTCTGTACCAAAGGGTAGAATTCCCCAGAGACTGGCTCTAGAGATGGTATTAACTACTGTGATGACTGAGGGACCTGCTTCCCTAATGAGGTGTTGGGAAGCTGCTTGAAAACTGTATCAACCACTGAAAGCCTTGTAGTAGTTTCTCTGCTAGTATTGTCAAAGAGTCAATTGATACTCTCCATCACTGGCAAAACTGAGTTTTGGGAACAAATGGTCCTGAGCCTTTTGGGACTCAGTTTTGAGGATGACCTCCCCAAATATCTGCTTCCTTCAGCTTTCTCTGATGCTTAACTTCTGTCTTTCAATAGGACTATCCCTTTCCTACCAAGCAGCCATCACCAACCATTGCTGAGCTGATTGGAACCAGATATGCAATGATGGTGCTGGAAAGGCAAGGCTTCTTTCAAGGAGGTAGTGATGGTGTCTTTTCAAGAGCAAAGGTATGTTTTCTCTCCTTCTCTTTGTGCTGTCTTTGCCTTTTGAAAGGCAAGCTGGCTGGCTTCATGGCCCTCAGTGCTGAACTGCTGAGGGCTCTCTTCCTCAAATTAGCCTGTTCATATGGCTGATCTGAGTTTGGCCCTAGGCCGTAGAAGTCTTTTGATACTTGTGTGGTGATGGCTTCTAATCAAGCTTAAGCTGTGTAAATTGCCTAGAAAGTAATCCAGCCTTTGCTTGATACTTCTTGTCTGTTATTTTCACTCTAGGAGAGCTGACTGCCATGACTGCTGGCCAGCTCTGAAATCACAAAGTAATTGGGATTTGGTACTGCTAAACAGTGAAGCAAAGGCTCTTAACTCAGGCTCCCACACCTGCTGACTCAAACAACCTTTCTGAGTAGATGCAAAGGTTGGGGAGATGAGGGGAACAGGGAATGACCTACAGCACAGGGCTATTGGCTGTCCATTCTGCTTAACTGCTGGCTTATTCACTGAGTCTCCCCTTTAGAGGGGCTGTTGCAACTTCTAAAGCAGATGTTGTGAGTACAAGCCCTTTGCAACACAGATGTGAGCAAGTCCAGGCTACTTGGCTTAAGGGGTCAACTTCTTGCCCTTGCTTATTTAGCAGTATAGGCAGAGACAAAGGGTTGTGCTAGCAGAGCTATGCTACTTCCACAATCTGTCTCATGCTCCTGAGATTGAACCCTTCTTTTCTTCTCACCTTACTTACCGACCCTGCTTTAACTTGCCTGCTCTCTGCCTATTCTAAAATGGCTCTCCTACGCTCTTTGTGTTCTTGCTGCTTTAGCTTTCTCAAGCTCTACGTCTCAAGATAATATCAATTCTGACTGCCAGCTGTGTATGAATGTGTTCTTTTTTAAAAAGTTCAAGCGACTCATCAGCTTCCTTATGACTCATTTTTTGCTTCAGGATTGGATTCAAATTTGCCCTGACTTAATCTCTTTGGGATTGCTGCAGTCTACCTCAAAGAATGTCTCTCTTCTTCCCTCTCTCTTAACTAGCTACTGTTACACTCTTGCACAATACAGCTATTGTTTGCTCAAGAGCCTTTTTTTAAACTCCTGTTGTCTGGCAGCTGCCCCAAACCTCTGCATCATAAAAACACTGGCCTTCAAGTAAGACTTTTTTTTGCCTTTTTAGCTTTTAATTCATGTGTCTTTGCTATCCTTTATTCGACCTCTGTTATTGTATGTGGATCTAAAGCCTTTAGAAGGTTGGTTTACGTGCTTGGTCTTTGGCAGGCCGTGGATACTGTTGGTACAAAGATATTTCCCATTGGCATTCACAAGTAACTTTCCTTTCCACAGATCTGTTTCAGCTGCCATAAGCAGATGTTTCTTAAGTGGCCTTACAGCTGTTACCTCTGCAGCAGGTGAGCTGGTAGGAAAGGACTGAATGAGGAGGGATAAAAGCATCAAACAACAGTACTGACAGTACTGAGTATTCAAACAGTTGCAGTGCTGGATAGGAACAGGTTGCTGAGCCCTTCAGTTTTGCCTTACTGCACACATCGGACTGAAGTGTCTACAGCTGCAGAGGATGTGGAAAAACTTGCCTCTGAAGTGGTATATTTAACTCTTAGTATTAAGATAGCAATAACCAAATTTACTGTGCGAGTATTAGATTCAGTTTCTCTCAGAGATGACTCTCTGCATTTTGCTCTAAAGGTTGGATTTAACTTCAGTCAGGGGCTTAAATAGGTTCTGGGAGAGGCTTTTCAACAGAATCTTCTGTTGAGGACTGGAAAAGTAAACTCCAGACCCTGTGACTGGCAAATGAGCTGGATCTACTTGTATCCACTTATTTGTCAGAGGTTTTCTGTTCATGGGGGAGGAAAAGAGTTACTTCAGACTCAGTAAGGCTCACTTCAATCTATTTGAAGCAGTGGTGAAGCACTGAATTGATTACGAGCAACAAGTAAACAACCACTGGGAATTGAGTAACTGTCTGGTGGTAGTGCTGGGTGAAAAGTAATGGGCATTGGCAGATAAAGCCCTCAAGCTATGGGTGTTGACACATTTCAGATGATCTAAACTAGCACACATAAGAGGGCTGGCAAACTGTATAGGGGAGTTCTAAGCTTGCTCACTTTGCCATCAAGTGATTTTGCCACAATCACAAATTAAGACTTACTTCACCCTTAGCTGCAATATTGGTATCTGCTGAGCTTTACTCAAATGATAATACTGGGAACTTTTTTCTCTTAGTGTTGTCTGCTGTGACTGCTGCATCAAGGCAAGTCTAGACTTTACAATAAAATATGTTTGGGGTTTTTTTTACATTTTGTGTAAAAATGTACTTTTTCTTTTACATTTTCTCGCCCAGTCATAGGAAGCTTTCCTTCACCCCACTGATACCTCAAATCTTCCCTCTAGCTTGCTTCTGAGAAAATAGAAGAGAGAGTATTACAAGGTGTAAAAGCAGCCAGGGTGCTACAGACCTCTCTTATCATACTCAGCTAAAACAACTCTTGTTCCTCTTTTTTTCATCCTGTACAAAGTGGTTCGGATTACTCTGTGCTCTGCTTATACAAGGGTCAGGAAGTTCACTGCATTAATGTCTATCTTCTAAGTGCACCAATGAATCAATTGCATGCCATGCAAATTTTCCTGCTAAGGAGGAGGATGTGTTTCCCTGAGAACTCAGGTGACTTGTGTTGTGATTCTAGATGTCCATGCCCTTCAGAATATGTGTACATCTCCCACTTCACTTCTTAAAACTTTTGAGACTCTCCAGAGAGGAGGACCCCACTACTCAAGAGCAGAAGAGCTCAGAGTTGCTGCATGAAATAGAGCACTGGGAGTGTTTTAGGTAAGCTGGGACCGGGATGTTCTGGTTTTTACCTTGAAGGATGTTACCAGTTACTTGTATATGCAAGTCTACAAACATGCAGACAACAGTATGTAGTATTATGCTGGTCAGCTGAATGTTATGCTGAATGACTAGTTTAGCCACTGGTCAAACTAGTCTACGGTTCTCTGGAAGTGTTGTGGATTTTGGATGACCAAAAGTGAGGACATGTAGGTGCTCTGAAATCCATTTTGCTTTTTAGCTATTGGGTTTCTGACATGGATTCAGAAGTGTCCATATTAGCCCAGACATAAAAGGTTCCCTGTGACAGCTTCATTTATATGAGGATTTCCAGACCTCATTATATGCTATCCCCAACAGCTGAGAGTCTGTCACTAGAACACGGGAGTAGCCCCTTTATAACTAGAAATAAAATATGCTAATGGTCTCAGGTATAATTGACTGAAGAATAATGCCACAAATGGTTTCTCAGTCCCTCCACACACATAGAGACATCCTTTCCTTTTTGTCCCCAAAAAGGGAACTATTTCAAAAGAGTTCTGGGAGGAAAAGACAGACCTTGTGGGTATAAGTGCAGTATCTAGGACTCAAAACATACGTTATCTGTTCTCTTCTTTCCAAATCAGTTATATATTCCATTGGGAGAACAGGTATTTTTTATCTCTGAAACCATTATTTAATGTAGCCAAAATAAAGTCACAGCAGTTTCTGATTCAAAGGGTTGTACTTCGGTTGCCAAAAATCAGGGGCAGTGTTCACTAAAGTTAACTGTGTGGGCCAGTGGTTTGGTTCTGTCTTGTAATGCAGGTGCTGCAGAAGAGGTGTGAGTGACTGCATTACTGCCATACTTCAGGATGGCAAAAAAATAAAAGTAATCCTACAGCATAAGGGTGCGGCTGTAACTTTGGATCAACCACAGATGTCCATTAGCCCTGTGGCTGACATGCTGTCAATAGAGAGAAGGTGTCAGTAAGTGAAGCTGTTCTAGTGTTTAGTAGCTTTCCTAAGCGGAGCTGACTGCTCTGTTGAACCCATGCATTTAGCTGAATCACTACCCAGTGTTGGATCATGTGCGGGGAAAGGGTGGAAGAGCACTGTACCCTCTAACAGAAACCTGAATCAGCTTTCCTGCTTTTCTTTTTTCCTCTCCCACTCCAGTGTACCCGTTATTTTGGAACCCCATTGCCTAGCACAGCCTCTGTGCTGTTACACAGGGACCATGGCAGACTGGCTGACTGCAGACATCTGTGTGCCATGTGAGCAGTATCTGTTGAACATGGCTTCCAGTCAACAGCAGAGCATCCCTCTCAGGAGAATTTCCTGGCCTTGAACCAAACTGGAATGACTCTGCCATACATTTCTCCTGTCACTTGTTCTGTACCTGAAGTAAATGAAACAGCTTTATGCACCTACAAAGACCTATAAAGGCCTGAATAAAAGACCTCCCTGCTGGCTAGTCTAAGCAGGAAGCACAGTTAGTATTTATGTATTGTGAAGTATTATAAAATATTGTGGTTTTTAGAACTGTTTTAATTCTTGTGTCTTTGGGAAAAATAAATGTTGAAGCACTATCAGGCCTCTAGCACTTCCTCCTTTGCACCTGCAGTTGTCATTGTTCAGTGGCACTGTTTGCATTCATTGCTGAGCAGATTTCACCCTGTGTAATAAGTACAGGGAAACTTTTAACCTAAAACTTCTATTCCTGAGAGGCTTGGAAAGTCGTGCTCTCTGACATGTGATCACATCATGGTGCATGTTGCAAACACTTACTCCTCCTTGATAACTCACTAAAAAGCACTTAAAACTCACTGCTCTGATGCATGTCACACTGTAGCAATGGCTGTCAGGCAGCCTGCTTGGTCTGATTGCTTAGGAAGCTAGCTCTTGACTTGTTTTTCGTCTGTGCATAGTCTGTGCTTTGCCACCAGAGCTCTCTGGTACATGTCACTGAAGTACCTAGTATATCTCAATGCCATCATTGCCTGCAGGGCAGGCGGCTGTTCTCAAGAGATTCTTGCTCTTTGTATTGCTCTAAAGCTTTGCCTGAAGCTAAACTGGGCTATTACAACCTATGACATTCTAGAAAGATAAAGAATGTTTTTGGTAAATTCTTTGTATGGTTAAAAACAAAAATTGGATATTGCATAGTTTCTCCCTGGGATTGCCTGTGTGGAAGGGGTGTAGGTGCTCTGATGGAGTTCTCCCTGATGTGTTGAGCAGGGCTTGGTTAGAGACCATTGAATGATACAAAGGACTTGTAGTTGGAATGAGTCATGCTGAAGAAAATAATGGCTGGGAAGGGCCAGTTCTTCTTGATAGAGGAGAAGGGAAGAAAGACATGTTTAAGCTGAGCCCCAAGGTCTGCATCCAAACTGCCAGAAGGGTCAATACCTCCAGCTGACTTGTGCTGGCCTAACTCTGCTTCCTCCAAACTGCCTGTCTGCAAGCTGAAGCCTACCTGCAGGTTTGGGCAAGCTCTGCAAGTAAATGAATGTGGGGAAGCTGGAGATGGTGCTTCCTTTTGGAGCAAGTTCAAGTGTTCCTCTTCCTTCAGTCAATTAGGAGGGGTGCAGCCTGCCTGCCTAGGTCCTCTCCTGTATGTGCTAATTGCTGGTGCTGCTGGGAGGCACATCCGTATCAGGCCAGGTGGGCTCCTTGCGGGCTGCAGGGAATGGCAGGCAAGCCACAGCTGTGCTTGCTGGCAAGATGGGCACAGTGTGGAGCCGGGGGCATGAGGTGCTCTTGGACGCTTGCTGAGTGAGGTAGTTTAGATAGAGGTAGAAATGAGCTGATATCAGCCTGTTTTGATTAACATGCAAGCCCAAAATGTTTCTCAGAGCCTGGGTGCAGTGGTATGGAGAGAAGGTATCTGTATGGCACTGAGGTAGGCTTCAGTTTATGTGCAGAGCAAAGGCAGTCCTCTCTACCATACTGGTTGTGTTGGCCCCTGAGAGGGCTAGTAAAACCTCTCTCCCCTGTACAGGAGTGACATCTAGTCCTTCTTCAACTCTGGTGTGCAACTGTTGCTCCTGACCATGGCAGGTCATGACAGCTTATGGGGGCAGGCTTATTAGACATTTACATCTGCTTAAACACAGCCAAAAGAGCCTGGCCATCTCCTTTCCCTAGCCAAGGAGAGCCCTTCAGAGGGATCAGAGACTAGGCCTTACCTGGGATCCACAGAGCGCAGGGTGGAGCAGGCAGAGGTACCACACAGGCAGCCTGAAGCCAAGGTGCGGAGTGGAAGACTCCCATGTGGAACAGATCTGGGACCAAACCTTAAAGGTACTAAAAGCAGCACTTTCCAGGGATGGGGAAGTGACTGTTCAAAACCTGTTCAGTTTGAAGCCCCTAAAAGGGGATGGTTTGGAGGAAAGTCTTCCCTCTGCATGCACACGGCAGGATTTGATCTGTCTTGCTGGTTCGTAGAATCATAGAATTGTTTTGGTTGGAAGAGACCTTTAAGATCATCAAGTCCAACCGTTAAACTAACAATGCCAAGTTACCACTAAAACATGTCCCTCAGCACTGTCTACATGTCTTTCAATATCCCCAGGGACGGTGACTCAACCACCTCCCTGGGCAGCCTGTTCCAATGCTTGATAACACTTTCAATGAAGACATTTTTCCTAATATCCAGTCCAAACCTCCCCTGGCACAACTTGAGGTCATTTCCTCTTGTCCTATTGCTTGTTACTTGGAAGAAGAGACCGACCCCCACCTCTCTACAGCCTCCTTTCAGGTAGTTGCAGAGAGCGATAAGGTCTCCCCTCAGCCTCCTTTTCTCCAGGCTAAACAACCCCAGTTCCCTCAACCGTCCCTTGTAAGACTTGTTTTCTCGGCCCCTCAGCAGCTTTGTTGCCCTTCTCTGAACACACTCCAGTACATCAATGTCTGTCTTATAGTGAGCAGCTCAAAACTGAACGCAGTACTTGAGGTGTGGCCTCATCAGTGTGGAGTACAGAGGGACAATCACTTCCCTAAGTCCTGCTGGTCACACTATTTCTGATACATGCCAGGATGCTATTGGCTGCCTTGGCCACCTGGGCACACTGCCCGCTCATATTTAATTGTCTGTTGGCCGACACCCCAGGGCCTTTTCCATCAGGCAGCTTTCCAGCCACTCTTCCCCAAGCCTGTGGCGCTGCATGGGGTTGTTGTGACCCAGCTGCAGGACCTGACACTTGGCCTTGTTGAACCTCAGGCCACTGGCCTCAGCCCCTCAATCCAGCCTGTCCAGATCCCAGCGCAGAGCCATCCTACCCTCAAGGACATCAACACTTCAGTCCAACTAGGTGTTATCTACAACCTTACTGAGGGTTCCTCTCATCATATGGACCAGATGATGAACTGACTCCCTGCTCAGAGTCAACTGATTCTAGTTATTAGTGTTGTGGTTGGGTGAAACTTGCCTTTGGACGTGGGGACCTTTTGGTATTCTCCCACTGCCGCAGAAAGCGGTCCATCTCCAGGCTCTCGCATTGGGTCCCTTCACGCAGCCTCTTGTACCTTAAAGCACATCTGCAGTCTTTAGCCCTACTCCAGTAGGGAATCATGACTGAAAAATGGGAAAAGAAGTCTAATTATTACTACTGGTAGTGGCAGGAACCTGGACTGGTGCACTGGCAGCAGAGGAGGGAGATCTGTCGGGACAAGCTTACTTTCATCTTCTTTCCTCCTCAGGTCAGTTCTGTGCCCACTACCCCTTGGAGCCAGCAAGGGGTGGGCAGAGCTGAACTCGGACACCTTTCACTTCGACACGGGGCCTCCGAGGAGGGACCCGCCGAGCGTGGCGCCTCATCCCAGCCAGCAGGCACGGAGGCGACGACGCTCCACGCCTCGCTCCCCTGCCC